GGAAAATTATGAACATTTTTAAGCCATTAAATTTGACATTTTAGATGAAATAGTCAAATTCCTTGAAATATGCAACATCAGAACTGAGAGAAGAAATAGAAGTTTGTAATGACCCCATTATATATCAGAATCAAATCTGTGTATCAAAAATCTCACCACAAAGAAAAAGTCCAGGCCCAAAGAGTTTCACTGGTTAATGAAATATTTAAGAAATACCAATTTTATACCAACTCAGGAACATTTCCTAGCTGATTCTTTGAGGCCAGCAATAATCTCATAAAAATCTGACAAAGACAGTGCAAGAACAAAATGTACAGATCAGTATCATTTGTGAACTTGGACATAAAAATCCTGAACAAATTATCAGCAGATTGAATCCATTAGTATATAAAAAAGATAAAACATCATGAGCTACTGAGGTTTGTCTCAGCAGTGCAAAATGAATATATCACTGAAAATCAGTATTTTGTTAATATGGGAGGTTATAAAGTAGAAAAAGCATATTTGACACAAATCAACACCTATTTATGATCAAAGCTCTGGGTAAGCTAGGAATAGAAGGAAATTTCCTCAATCTGATGAAAGATATTTACAGAAAACCTCCAGCCAATATCATTTTTAATGGTGAAACAGTATTTTCCCTCTAAAATCAGAAATAATGCAAGGATACCTGCTCTCACCACTTCTATTCAGCATTACACTGGAGATCCTAGCAAGTTTAGTAAGGAACAGACATAAAGGAAGAAACAAAATTCCTGATATGCAGGAGTGATTGCAAGAGGAGTAAAGATTATTTACATTAAAAAATTCTAAGGAATCAGACAACAAACCTACTAGAACTAGTAAGGGAGTTCAGCAGTGCCTCAGGATACAAGGTCAATAACAAAAAAATCAATTGTATGTCTATATGTTATCAATGAGTAATTGGAAACTTAAATTGAAATACCATCATTTACAACAGCATAAAAGCGTAAGCAGGAATTGTAGGGAAATATCGGCGCCCTTGCAAAGTAGATAGACGATTGGTCACTGAAAAACTACAAAAGATTACTGAGAGAAAGAAGACCCAGGTAAATGGAGCAACATTCATGAATTAGAAAACCTAATATCATAGATACTGGCTGTCATGGAATTGACCTACGAATTCAAGTGCAATAAAAACCCCCTTCTTTCTGTGAAGCTGCCGAAAAATGGACCTCATGGGTGGAACTGTTTCTTCAAGAGTAAAGTCACACTTGGGGCAAAGATAATTGAATTCTGGATTTCTTTGGATTCACACTTTCTTCTAGATTTCAGCTTCACAGTTCCTTACCATATTGTAAACTCTTAGATAATTTTAAGATGTTTTGTTGGTTTTTGTATATTATCCAGTTTTTAGTTTGTCTCTGAAAAGAGTCCATTTCCTAGCTCCATTACTAGAAAAAAGTCTCCCATCTTTTTTTTCTATCTTTAAAAAAAATTTTTTTTTGAGCAATTACTGTGTTTACAGCAATTTCTGGCTGGCAAGACACTCCTGAGCACTGTGTATGTGGAGGCAAGCAAGACAAAGTCACTGTCCTTGAAAAGCTCCCATTCTGATGGAAGATACAGTCATTTTTCTGTTCAAACTGATTTGGAAGCAATGGTTGTGAAATGCATGAACTTTAAGTAAATGTCAGTCTCTGCCTTCCATGGTGAGCTAGAACCTCACACAGTAGACTCAAACTCCAGCACTGTGATGGATTGGAGGACCATTGCAGAGTCTGCCCAAAGCCTGGCTAGGGAGAGAACTAGGGGGAAAGACCCTGAGATGGTAAGTGAGGGGCTAACATTTTAAAGGTGACTAAGATTTTACCAGATGACCACAGAGATTGGAGAAGTGACACTGGCGCAATCTATGTTTTTGTCTTTTCTATCCCATAGAAACTCCAAGTGTAAGCCTCCAAAAGGAAAACACAGAGAATGAAGCAGCTTTGAACATTATGGAAAGCCCTGAGACTTTAACCAAGAGTGTAGGGGAACTCCCAGGCTCTCAGTCCGTCAATCCAGAGCCAGTCCAGGAAACTACCCAACCACTGATGCCTTGATAACCACTGTCCACCAAGATGGCCTTTGAACTCACCCAAGCACCCACATCAGAAGCCAGAAGAGAGGCCATCCTCCAAACTGCATTGCCTACATTGGAGACGAATGATTTAACGATCCCTCAATGAAGGTCCCCTTCCCAAAACAGAATCCCCAAAGCCTTCCACTTTTGAATTCTCCCAATAATCCTCTTTTATGATTTTTTTTAAACCACATCCAGCATGTTGCTTTCCCCCTTTGGGCTGTCTTCTAAAAAGAATTAGACACAATTTCTCCCCTTTTTCCTCTTTGTGCCCCAGGGTGACCTGATGGTAGAAAGTGGTCAGGAAAGGCATGCAGAAGAGCCATGGAAGCCTCAGGAAAACCATTCTGGTCTAGCCTTTTATCTCAAGGGGAACAGCAAAGGAAAAATAGCTGTGGTCTTGGAGTTGGAACTGGTTACACTCTGTGTCACGGGATTTGTCTCATCCTTACCCTTCATGATATTCTCCGTTACAGGAGTGGCTGTGGTGAACATCAGCATGTAAATAAAGGAGACCTCTCAGGAACCCAGAAGGTAAATGATACACTTTTTGGATCCCTCTGTGGTCACTCACTAGGGGATGAGTGCCAAAGTGATGCCATCCTGAGTCAGAGTGAGAGGTGGCATGGGCATGAGTGAGTCAGGCGCAAAGATCTTACCCAACGCACACATTCTGTCCTCCAGTGTGCAGTGCTTCCTGATAGCTTGTCATTGGCTGATTCCCCAGTGGGGGATGATGGGCATAATCCCATGACCACCCAGTAGCCTTTGGCCTTGAAGGGAAACTAGAGCTTAGAACGTCTGTCTGGGAGTCTAATGTTAGAAGCAGTGAATTGAGTTCTACTGTGTGACCTTAACCTATTCAAACTCCTCCTCCAGGCCTCAGTGTCTCCATCTGTATGATGATGTGTGGGGGCAGACACCACAGCACCTTCCCTGTGGCTCCAGTTTATCCTGGGCTGACTGTGGAGTAAGCACTGGTGGGGCAGGGCTACCTCAGACAACCCGTCACCCGAGAAGGCAGAGCTGTCTGGTTTGAGACTTCCATTTCGACAGCCGGCCCCTCCCCTCCCACACAGCATCTGGAGAAAATAGGAATGGCAGTCCCCATGGAGCTGCTTTGTCACCTAGATGCAGGTGACCCCAGACACTTCAGTGTGGAAGGGCAAGTGGGACGTGGCAGCAGAAATACTGCTGAAGGTCGGGGGAACCTTGGGGGCAGATCACAAACACACCCACCTCAAGGGGATTCTCCCATCACTTCTCTAGGCACTCATCCCAGCCTTAGCCCAGAAGGATGCCCCCCCCACCAAATCACACCTTCCCTGTCTGAAGCCCTCACCCCTAGACCTGCCCAGGTCATGTCCAAAACTTGGTTGTTCCCTCCTGGTCACACAGTTCCCCCTCTAGCTCTCCAGCGCATCCACACTTAGGTCTCCACCTCCCAGGCTGATGTCCAGCATTTCCCCCCGACCTGCCCCAGTCCCAGCAGGTCCCAACTGAAGCCGCTTTCTAGCACACCACAGGCTCAGGCACCTCAACCCCCAAACCCAGACCAGCCTGCACACACAGACCAAGGAGACAGGTGTGTAGGCCACTCCCACACAGGCCCCTGCCCTGCCTCTACATACTCCCTGCCCCTCCCCTTCCCCCAGCAAAGACGCTAGAGGACCAGAAAGTGAAGCACATGCTTATGCTCTGAGGTGATCAGGGGAGACTCGAACGGGGGCTTAGCACCCACACTGTAGTGTATAAAGTTGGTCTGTGCCCTTCACCTACCGCAAAGGTTTCTGGACTCAGGTTTCAGAGTATTCTTGGTTTGGTGGTTTGGTTGTTCCCAGTATGACATGGTAGGGCTGGTCTGAGATAAGAATGGCGTCCAAGGAGCACAGGCTCTTACAACTGGGAAGGTCTTAGCAAGCCAGGACTGGAACCCACCAGATGCTTCCAGGGTGGACGGAGGGGAGCTCTGCATGCCGGCAAAGCTGCCTTGCTGGAAGAAGGGTCAGAGGTCACATTGGTGTGGTCAGTGGTCAGTCTGCCTGGACAGCACTGGTCTTCCCCCGGTGCAGAGGTGGCTGATGGTTGGGAGCCAGCTGCTGCCTAGAGAGCAGGCCTGGAGCCAGCGCCACCTTCCCACTGTTCACTTGCCACTCCTGGAGCCCCGCTGTTTGCTCATGGCCGTGAGCATCTGGCTAATATAGGAAGTCAGGAGGTCATCCATCTTGTAGCCCTGGAAACAGCAAGAAGGTAAACAGCACAGAGTGGGAAGGGCCGCCCACTAAGCCCCAGAACGCAGCTCCCAGGGAACCACAGAGGGCAGAAGCCGGACACAGGCAGAGCCTGCTCTGCTCTGGGCTCACTCTCCCCCGTCGCACAGTTGGAGGGTTAGGTTCATCCAGCCAGATGTCTAGGCTTCTAAGCTGTTGTGACCCCACATTAAGGCCCTAGTTTGTGGGCTTCTCAATTCCTGGGTGCCTACCTCCAGGAGTGGCTGTAAAGGCTTTACCAGTTGAGCTCAGCCCAGGAGGCCTCATTGCTAACAGCTCTGCTCTTGAACTCAGGGACCAAAGGCTCAGTCCCAGATATGGGAGACACTTGAACAGTAGTTGTTCACTGAGTGGTCTGCTCCTCAGCCCTAGATTAAGCCCCTGCCCCAGACCTAAGCTGACCTGACCGTAGCCCCAGCGTGACACTTGATCCTGACTGCAGGCCAAGCCGCACACTCCTTGTGTGTGTTCCCGAGGCTGGGAGGATGTCTGAAGCCGCAGGCGAGGCTGGGGAGCCTGCCAGGCCTGGAAGGAAGAGCTCTCACCAGTGACGTCTCACAGAGAAGTTTGCTTCCGCGCACCAGGTTCCCAATGGTGATGTGGAAGTAGGTGTTGCCACTGCTCCAGTTGGAGATCTTGGTGAAGGGGTGAGTGGTCAGGATGTCCTAGGGGGAGAGAGCATCTGAAGCTGCACAGCCTGGACCGTCTGGCTCTCCCCTCAGTGCTGCCCCAGACACCACCCACACAAAGGGCCCTGAGACGAGAAAAGGAGCAGGAGGGTAGAGTCGAGCTGTGTTGTGGAGCTGCTCTGGGAGGCAGATGCCCTCCCCATCAGGCCTCGGTTGGGGCCAGCTGGTGAGACAAGCAGGGAAGTCCAGGGGCTGTCAGGTGTTGGGGCCAGAGTTGGAAATTTGACAGCCTGAAGGAACTGAAACTGATCGTGGATGAGGTGGTCCAGTGGAGTTGGAGGAGGGAGACAAGACAACGACAGGAGAGAGCCTTGGGGAACACAGCATGTGTGGGCTGGGTAGAGAAGCAGCCCATGGAAGTGCCTCAGAGGGAGACGAGGGTGGAGATGAAAACCAGAAAAGTGGGCACATGGAGCCGAGGGGAAGATGGCGGTCACTGACCCTTTCGCTTACAATTCTAGTTGTACCTCCTGTGTCAGTGGTAGTTCTCTGCCTCTTGGCCCGCTTGGTAGGAACTACTCTGGTAGGATCTGTGCAGCACTCACCGTACCTAGCAGAGCCTGCCAGTATGGGGAGAGAGCTCTGGAAGGAGGGAGCAGTTGGTAACGTCCAGTAATGCTGCCAGGCCAAGCACTGAAGAGTTCATTGGATTTAGTGGCGAGGGCCGTGTTAGTAACTCTGAGAGCAGTTTTGATGGAGCAGATGAGAGGGGAGAAAGTAAACTTAGCAAACAGGGACAGCCTCTGAAGACGTGTGGTCGGAGGGCGGATGAAGCAAAGATGGTGGGGGCAGGTGAGGCATTTGGGGTTGGGTCTGGGGCCTTTGTTAGATGCGCAGACAGGGAAACCCACCCTGCCTGCTCTTCTCCGTCACTGCTCACCTTGGTTCTGGGATCGATGAGGCTGACCCCATACTTGTTGATGGCAATTAAGAGGATCTCAGGGAAGTTGGGCTCCGTAGTTTGCTAGTAAAGGAAGCTAGAACCGTCAGATGGGGGACCCAGAGCAGAAAGAGTTATGTACACTTGGGGCAGAACTGAGGCCACCCCGAGCTGGTATTAAGTCAACCTCTCCTGCTGCCTACTCGGTACCAGGGGTGCCTCCTCCAGGAAGCCTCCTCGGCCTTCAGTCTGGCTGGGCCTCCCAGACTCTGCCACCTCAATGAGTGCTCCCCACTGTCACGGGGTAAGTCATCCTCCATTACTCTGGTCTTTTTTACCCATTTGCCCCCCCCCCGCCAGGCTGAGGTGCTGGTCCCTCTGCGTCCTAGGACTGAGCTCAGGGCTCAGCACTTAGCTGAGGCTCCTACCGGGGAGGGTGATGCCCTCCTTTCCCTGCCAGGCAGAGGGCAGAGACCATCACTGTTTCCCAAAGCTGTGGGGAGGAGTCCCTGTGTCTTCTGGTCCCCCCTCCTCGCCGCCTTTCCTTCTCTCTGAGAAGCCACCCACCTACAGCATACCTTCACCTCGAAGAAGGCTGAGCCAAAGGTGGGCCACTTGAAGATGAGCTTCAGGAAGGCCAGCTTAGCCTCCTCTTTGGACTTCCCTGCGTGCTTGTTGAAATAGGCGACGATGGACTGCAGGGGGAGGGCAGGTCAGAGTCCTCTCTCCTCCCACGCCTGCCCCATCTGCATAGTCAGTACCTGTTATGGGCCCTGGAGGGCCAGGTGTAGGATGGGGGTCCTGGAGGCCGTGAGGGCTCCCCACTTATACCAGTTCATGGACTCCTGGCAACCCCACCCTCCCCAAAGCAAGCAGCCCAAAGAATATCAAGTAAAATCTGGTCACCATGGAAACCAGGACAGGGCACATTACTGCCAAGTGATCAGCTGAATTCTTTGCCTGGAGGATTGAAACTAAAGCAGGTGGAGGGGAGAAAAGTGGGCACGTGTCTAAGGGGGTGACCTTAGGATGTACAGGGGCCACAGGAGATAACTTCCCTGGGCTACTGGCCAGAACCGGCCCCGTTGACCCTGCAGTGCCCAGAGACCCATTCAGGGGGCTCCTGTCCCCTCCATGCTCACCCGCTTCCAGTCATCAGGTGAGATCTGCCGGATGAGGTCCTGGGGCACCAGCTCCCGTAGCAGCTTGGGGATACTGGGGAAGTAGGACTTGTCCTCCTCAAACTTGACCCTGTAGATCAGCGCCCCCAGCTGCAGCACCTCCTCGCGCGTGCACTTGTGGTAGCCGCGGAGATACTTGGGCAACTCCTGCCAGAGACAGAGCA